CAATGACTACTCGGGTCACTTACGCCGCCCACCCCGGCGTTGCTCCCCCTTCGCCCCCCCCCCCATCTGTACTGTGCTCCCTGGTTGCCAAGGAGACTTGCTTAAAACATCAGCCCCGGGACATCTATTGAAAGAATGGGTGGCTTAATTGATGCGGTTATTTATTTTCATTTTTAAAATAAAATAGACACTGAGGACTTTGTGGGAATTTGAACACTCGTTAATGTGGATTCAGGCGACGGTTTCATTCAACTTCAAGAAGAGCGTAATGGCACTATATGGCATGCTTTGAAAAGGGTTCGTCAGATGAATTGTTTCAACGGTTTGTGTCTTGAATCATAGATCCCCGTTTTGGGGATCGTATAAAGAAAGCTGATTCCAGTTTAAATCCCTTCTCTCCCGCTATTTCCAGTTTTATTTTGCAGTTCACTGAGGCATGATTATCTTGACATTAAAAGCAGAAGATGATTTAATTGTGGTTGCCCACAAAAGGATGGTCTTCTGTTGTAAATTGACCAGGAGTACGTATTCATTCCTGATGTAACAAGATAGCATTCATGGCATACATCTTTGCTGGCACCTTTATATCTCCTGCATCATTATTTAAGGGCAGTTTTCTGTAGCTCTGTCCATTTCTGAGAAGATTCTGTTTTCTTTCCAATCTCTTATTTTTTTGGAGATATAGCTACTTTTTATATCTACAGAGATAGATAGAAATTGTGTGCCATGACTTACTACTCTGGCGTCTATAAGCTTTTAGAGCTTATATGAAAGTGTAAATTTTTTTCCCCAGTGGACTGGATTCTTTCCTGGAACACTGGTGGGGCCCACAGAAGAGGCCAGTGCTTCTATTTCTCGGGAGCCCCTAATATATGGGCTGTCGATTTTGTTTTGAGGTCTTGGATGCCCAGTAAGTGAACTTATAACTTTGTACTTGAAGGTATCAGCAATCCAGTAATTACACCTTGCACTGATTTCATACCTTCATCACAGGCAGAAGTGACCTAGTAAAGGTCCACTGGCATTTAGAACTTCATTTTGTTTTCCTTTGTTATTTGTTCTTTTCTGCCTCTTGTTAAGTGAAGCCAGGAAATACATTAAATTCTTCTCATTTAGATGTTAGATTGTGTCATACAAAGTGTAATAATACGAGGAACAAGGAAGGCAAATAATAACTGAACAAGGTAGAGGGGATTTATGCAAGTCCCAGAGCTCGGAGAGATGAATAATCATGACAAACATCTTACATTATGGTGTACAAAGCACTTTTCATACACTTCTTTTTTAATCTTCATAACAACCTTGTGAGGTCAAGAAGTTACCTTCAGTTGAAAGCGGAGGAAGCTGGGCTCGGTGGCTCAGCCTGTAATCCCGTGCCTTGGGAGGCTGAGGTGAGTGGATTGCCTGAGCCCGCGGGTTCGAGACCCGCCTGGGCAACTTGGCGAGACCTCATCTCTACAATAAATCAAAAAATTAACCAGGCGCACACACTTGTAGTTCCAGCTACTTGGAAGGCTGAGGTGGAAGGATCGCCAGAGCCCAGCAGGTCGAGGCTGCGGTGGCCAGGAGCAGCCACCGCACTCCAGTCTGGGCGACAGAGTGAGACTCCAACTCAAAAAAAAAAAAAAAAAAAGAAAACAGAAGAACCCAATACTCAAACCTTGCTGTAGGTCACAGATCTAGTGAAGGGACCTCTTTCTGGATCCAGGCGTCATTGCCCTTTTAAAAACTTGTATCCACACTTCAAATGTGTGGCAGGTGAGATAAAGGAATGGAGCAGGTCTGGTGGAAGACATAAGGGGTAGAGTGTTATGGTGCTTGCAAACCACTGTAAAGGGTACAGTTCCTACTGTACTGCAGCAGATTGTTACTACCCAGGCTCTAAAGCATGCCAGTATTTCAAGGATGACAGAAACCTCTGGATTTTTAAAAAATGAAGTATCCTTCAATTTTACAACTGTAAGAACCACACTAATAATGTATCTGGGTTGTATCTGGCTTGTGGCCTGAGATCCGCTCATTTGCAATCCATAACTGCCAAGGCCTCATCCAATTCTAAGCCATTATTCTCTAATAAAAAACAAATAAATTCACCATAATAAGAGCAATCTGGAGTTTTCTGATTTCAGTATTAAAGTCTCTAATAAATGTTCTATGTTCGTTCTTCATAAGCAAGTCCAAGTTTGTTTTAGATGATTCCTAGGTCTCTCTCATAAAAGAGCATGAAGTGCTCTGAAATATAAAATTTTGAATTTGGTAAAACAAGAGCACTTATAGTTTAAAACTACTTATGACCCTGGCTTAATTTTTTTCTTCTTCTAGACATTGGGCTGAGAAGTGTAGACAAAGTGAGTTGAGTCCTTGTAATTGTAGGAGGAGGAAGAAGAAGAAGATGTTGGTCAGAACATGACACACCCTGAGCCTTTCAGTGAAAACTTTTTACGGTGGTGGGTGATTAATTAAAACCCACCACTGAATACTGCAAGATGCCAAAGGAACACAAATGTAAATTGGAACTCAAAGGGACATTCAGTTCCAGCACCCTGGCATAGAAAATGCTGTTTACTCCTTAACGGTATCTCATAATGAAGTCAAGATGTTTAGAGAAGCTGCCGCTTTCTAGTGTTTCAACTAGAGCAGTAGAGATGCCAGTGGCCTTCCCTGAACCAGGCAGTCAGAAAAGAGCGTTATTTATTTACATCTTTTGTTTTGTTGATCCAAACAAGTGTAGTTAAAAAAAAAAAGCTAAAAGGTTTGAACAGTGACTTCTAATGGTTCTCTTGTTCTAAAATCGTCCTCTGGAAGGATGCTTTAATAGTAAATAAAGGCATTTCAGTTTTCATTTCATGGAGGTGTGTTGTATTGTGTCTTTAGTAAAGACCGATGCTGGTGTTAGTATTGTTATGACAAAGTCCTGGCTGAGTGCTGTTGCGATACCATCTCTGCCCTCGAGGATTCCGAGCAAATGAACATACTGCTCCTGGCCGTGGTCACTTATCACGCCTCTCCTGTGTGCAAGCTGCTTTCGGTATTGTCTTCACAACCTCCCTGCAAAGTGGGCATCTTATTTCCATTTTACAGATGAAGAATCCAAGGCTCTGTGAAGTAAAGCTCTACCAATGAAAGAAACCTTGAACACTCAGCTGCTCTTCTCACTTCATACCCCTTCTTCTCTGTTACCTAATGCAGGTTATAGACTTTTAGACATGGACATAATTGTGATTTTGAGGCAGTTATGTGTTCAGTGTTACAACAGAAATGCAAAATTCACTGGGCGCAGTGGCTCACACTTATATTCCCAGCACATTGGGAGGCCAGGTTGGGAGGCTTGCCAGAGCCCAGGAGTTCAAGACCAGGCTGGGTAACATAGACCTCGTTTCTACAAAAATTAGCTGGGGGTGGTGGGTGGCACATGTCTGTATTCCCAGCTATTTGGGAGGCTGAGGCAGAGGGACTGCTTGAGCCCAGGAGGTTGAGGCTGGGGTGAGTCATAATCATGCTACTGCACTCCAGTCTGGGTGACAGAGAAAGACCCCAGCTCAGGAAGGAAGGAAGGAAAAGATTCTACAGAAATGCAGATACAGGGAAAAGTAAAAAAATATTCTGACTGTGGAGATCAGGTCAGTCAGTCTCAGTGTAGGAAGGGGATTAGTACTGGAACTCAATGGGTGGATCTGATGTTATTAAATGAAGATCTTTGTAGCCTTTGGAAGATGGGAGGTTCTGCCAGCCAGTCAGCTGGAAATGTGAGTGAGAGGATGTTGCTGGTGATATCTGATATTGATGAGATAATTGTAGCTGAAGGGGTGATGAAAGCTGTGGGAAGAAGTATGATCTCCAAGATGGAGTGCGGCAGAAGGACTGTATGTTGGATAGGTGGGAGGGCATGGAGGAAGACACACAGGGGAAGGAGATTAGGAGGAGAGATGTAGCCATAGAGGAGAATCTGAAGAATGTAGTCTTGATTCTTCTAGGACTCTGAAATAGAGTGAAGGGATAAACCAAGTGTTTTATTCTCTTTATAGAGACTAGTACATCGTAAATACTCATGAACTATTCGTGGTGTGTCTGCATTTTTAAAGTCTAATGACTGGCATGTGATTTTCTCTTATGTTATCGCTTTTCATATATATATAAAATTTTTGATTTTTTTGTAGACATGAGGTCTTGTTATATTGCCCAGGCTGGTCTCGAACTCCTGGACTCAAGTGATCCTCCCACCTTGGCCTCCCAAAGTGCTGGGATTATAGACATGAGCCACCATATCCAGCCTGATATCACTTTTCTATGGAAAGAGCTTACAAAAATATTTTATGTACATTCAATTGGAGTGGACAAATATGTGGATTTTCAAAAATGGGGAAGATTCTGGCATATTTGATGATAAAAGAGGTAATTCACTTCTAGCAAAGTCAGAGTTGGAGGCTAAGGAGGCTCTTGCAGAGAGAGATTTTAATGTTACCTTTTTTTTTTGTTTTGGAGACAGGGTCTTGTTCTGTTGCCGAGGCTGGAGTGCAGTGGTGCCACTATAGCTCACTGCAGCCTCAAACTCCTGGGCTCAGGTGATCTTTCTGCCTCAGCCTCCTGAGTAACTGGAACTACAGGTATGCACCACCACACCCAGCTTATTTTTTTATTTTTTCATAGATACAGGGTCTTGCTTTGTTGCCTAGGCTGGTCTCAAACTTCTGGACTCAAGTGATTCTCCCACTTTGGGCTCCCGAAATGCTGGAATTATAGGTGTGAGCCACCGTGCATGGCCATTACATACACTTTTGATGATGTCTTTTATTTGTGGGACAAGTAAGGAGAAATATGAGCTGTATGTTAGCCACTTGAAAAGCTATACTCAAATTCAGACAGAAGCCTTGGGTGGCAGATAAATGTGCTATGCTCTTGAGCCTGGTTGGGTCAGCATTTTT